AAGTTATCTTTATTGCCAACCAAAAATTGCATTCTCATGTAGAAATATAGAAATGAACTGTGGACTGTGAAAAGCTGTTATTGTTCACAAAGTGTTCAGGAAAGCTCATGTACTGCTTCTCATTTGAGTAATTCAGGTAGAAAAGTTTTTTCTTATCTTGCTCACCTGCTGCTTTGTTGAACTCAAACCACACAAATTGAGGAATAACGCCTGACGAAATCGACGTCGCTTCAACTACTAGAGCAAAGCAGTTGATGCAGTCGGGGCTTGGCTTACGGAGGACGTTGAATTTAATCTTTGGCACACGAAATTGTTGAAGCACGAGCAACTTTTTGGCGCCGGCAACGTTATAATTTGCATTAAAAGGCGTCGCGAGTTGCCAAAGCGAAACTCGCGCGGGCAACTATTAAACTAAAGTTACGGAGCATTGGGCACAAGTTTTTCGAGCTCACATTTCGTGAGGGCGCATACAAATGGGCGAACTGGCAGCCGGGCAGGCAAAATACCCAAAGAGTCAAACGGCTTGACTATATTAAGGCTTTAATAGCCTTAGCCGCGACTCAAAGTGGCCAACAGCGCATCGAGGCAAATCAGAGAGCCAACAAGTTGCCGCATTGCGTGCCGCCCATTTTTTATGTCTGCACCATTTTGTAAAATGGCAGGCAATAAAAATGGCCGCGAGTTGAAAGCAAAACGTCTCAGCAAATGTCAACCAGGCAGCAGCAGGAGCAGGAGTAACAGCAGTAGGAGTAGCAGCAGCAGTTTGGGAAGGACTGGGAGCAGTGGCAGGAGTAGCACCTTAAGCAGCAGCAGGAGCATGAGGTGTAGGAGTAGCAGCTACAGCAGTAGAAACAGCAGCAGTAGGAGGAGGAGCAACAGCAGGAGCAGGGTCTGTATTAGCAGCAGCAGCAGGAGGAGCAGAAGTATCAGCAGCTGCAGTATGAGCAAGAGATTTAGGAGCAGCAGTAGGAGGAGGAGCAATAGGAGCAGCAGCAGCAGGAACAGGAGTAGCATCAGTTGCAGGAGCAGCAGATACAGCAGTGCCAGGGCCAGTAGGAGCAGCAGCAGCAGAAAGGGCAGAAGCAGCAGGAGCAGCAGAAGGAGTAGAAGCAGCAGCAGCGACAGGAGCAAAAGCAGGAGTACCAGCAGCAATAGCAGCAGCAGCATGAGCCTAGCTGTAAATCGGCTAGCACACTACAAAGCCATCTGTCAATCGAAGTGATGCTCAGTCGATGATGGCTTGGCAAGTGAGAGTGAGAGTGAGAGGAGAGGAAGTGCAGGTGCCAGTTGCCACACATGCATGCCACGCCTTTTCAGCTAGCTTTTTAAAAACGAATGCAGCTGAGTCTGGCCACTTTCGCTAAGGGCAGGCCCACATCCAGCTGCCGATGCTAGGTGTCTGTGCTCAAGCATCAAAGGCGCAGCAACGAAAAAAGTTTTAATACTTTCGGGCAACATAAAGTTGGCCTTGTCTTGCTTGGGCTGGGCCATCGTAATCGTAGCGCCATTGCAACTACTAACGAAATTTATATGCAGCAGACGCAGAAAATGAGTTTAACTTTCGGCTCTTGCAGTTGGCATAAATCAAGTGGATCCAGCAGGGATGCCTCTCACTTCATCATCGTCATCAGCTGGAGTTCAATATTATGTAGCGCATGAAGGGATTCGCCTTCAGTTGTTGAACAAGCATTTTAAAAGCTCATAAAACTGAGAGAGACAGCGAATGAAACACAGATGGGAAGAGATTGAGATTGCGTTGGGTGGGAGGGAGACGCGTGTAAGCAGCAGTTAAACAGATAGGCCATTCAGCATCCATTCCCTGCGTCTCCATCCATCAGCTCGCAATGAGGACAACGGCAAATAAGTGTTGGGGCTGCGCCCCGCACAAGAAATTCTGTGTTGCCCTTGGCTCATGTCAAATCAAGCAATGAAAACTTTAATGGCATCAACACATGTAAGAAGGCGGCGCCGTCTGGCCAGCAATCTCCAATGGCCTCGCCTTAA